CTTCATTCGAACTATTTTTTAATATATCAATATTTACAACCTATCTTTTTGTTATACTCTGTAAATTAGGTGTAGCAAATCCAAAATTTTAAAGTAAAATACGCAAAAATAAACAAACACAATTTTGCTATAAAGAGGAAGAAGAAGAAGAATAAAGTCAAAGAACTAGTGAACATTGTATTAAGTCTGTTTAATTTAAATTACCATCATTACCGTGATTATGATCAATTTCTCATTCCAATCTTGTTTGTGTCATTGTCTACCTTCTTTACCCTTCAATCTTGGGCTGCTCTTTCTTATTTTTTTTACATAGGTATTGAAAATAGCGTTCATATAATGCAATAGTTTTCATTTGTCATTGACATGTGTCCTGTTCGTCTTAAACTACCTATTTCTATGAAAAAATCTTGCCTTTTACAGATTTTATTTTCACAGATTCCAATATTATGCTTAAGATTTTTTGTTCCATAATAAGTACATGAATTAAAACTGTTTTAGAAATAGTCTGTTATTGATCTAATAGTTTTATTTATTGTCAAATATATTGTTATATTTGTTATATTGTGATAAATTGTCTAATGTATTGTAGGTTTTGTTTCATTTTTGGCTTAAATTTCTGTTTGTTATGAGTATGCTAATTAAAAATAACATATGTTTACTAGTAATATCCTTATTTTTCTTTCTTTCGCTGTATATCCTTTCGAATTATCCTTAATTAGATAACGATAAAACTATTTATAACTTTAAAGTTGTATTCTCCTGTGCTAAAATTTTGACAAGTGCTTGATTTCTAATTCTGCTATCTACACATCATTACTTTCGTTTTCCTTCTATTTATTTTATTGCTAATATTTTCTGCTGCAGTTTAAAAGTACCTATGCCCTTAATGTTTCCGATTGATAGGAGCTACTATTAATAATTGTAATTTAATTTAAACAACGATTTACATACGAGTATACATTTTATTAACAAAATAAAACTGCATCAATAAAAACAAAGGTTTAAGTATCTATTTTTGAATTTTTAAGTGATTTTTTATAGTTTGGTATTTACTAATAATTAGATTATTTTTCTTATATAATGTAATAAATAAAATAAATATTATATAATAAATTTTCCAAATCTGACTGAACCGATTATACAAAATAGGTTTAGAATGAAAAATAACATATTATATAATGCGTCGCAATCAGGCAAGATATAGTTGATTGTTTCAGGACCTGTAATCAGGGTATATAGCTTAAGTTTCCATAAATCAGTTTTATTGTATGCAGCTGTTTCTTGACTAGTCCATTATGGAAGCCTATTACGAATCAGCTAATGCCTGCTTGTTTTTCATGGTACGTTAGCACTAACAGCATCTGCCCAATATAAATTTTGCCATGTACTTGAACAGGTTAATTCTCTTAGTGAGGATTATGTTGCCTTCGGATCCAGGATTTTTTCATGGGACGATGCTTTCTGGAATTCGCACGACCAGATCACATCAAGTAGTCTAGCTATTTTATTGTTGTGTATTCTCTGGTGACCTGGAACCCGTGCCAGTGTGACACTGTTATGTTACACCAGTCAATCGAGTTCCTCTCGGTATGTCGACACTAATCTAGAGTCGACCTTAGGGCTTATAGAAGCCTTCGTAGCTGCTTGGCTCTATGTGTTTTTTACCGCTTTCGAAACCTTTATGTTAATTTATTTTACACAGTGCAAGAATGCAATTTTTTTTTAATTTAATAGAACTTAAAAGTAGTAATTAAATGTAAATTTTCAGATGCAGAATGCATAATATGTAGATTTTTATTTTTATGTGGTTATATGTGGTTTAATACTAATTTTTTGTGTATATTTAAAATCTATGCATAAGTTCTTTGAATGATAAGTTTTTATTAAATTACATAAAGTATTATTACCAGACGTACACTAGAATAATTTGGACATATATTCAAAGGACCAAGAAGAAGGAAAACCCCAAGTAAAAAAATTAAACTCATTCCTGTTGATATTTTCTGAGTAGCAAATTTTCTATTTTTTACCTACTTTAAAAATGCATTTTCCTTTTGTATAAAGTGCAATGTTTATTGTACGTTAGGACGACATATTAACATTGGGCGCCAATATGTAACAATTAAACGACCCATCAGAATCGGTGGGTGCCAATGGGTAACGTTCGATGTCTAGGTTTTCACAAACTTCAATAAAGTTTAAAAACTTTCTTTGTTAGACAATTGTAAGGCTTCGTCTAGTTTACACTCTCAGGTGTGAGAAAATTTTATCTTAGAAGTACCTACATCTAAAGAATGAGTTTGACTCGAAAAATAAACCAAGATAAAAACTAATAGTATTTAATGTATATAAATAAATATCAAATTAAAAGTTTCTTACTAAATCAATATCAAACAAAACAATTCTTGTCTGATGTTGTCTTGAAGAAGATAGACAGGTTTTGCAGAATGCAAGAATGTAGTGGTTAGTTGTTGAAGTAGTAGAATCTACATACTTTCATGCTTGTATCTTTAGGTGGCCATTGAGTTCTTAATAACAGCTGCAGTTAATATTGCACGGTAAATTATGTACTGCGGAATTCGTCACCCAGAACGGTGGAAAAAATAAAGCCAAAAAAATTAAAAAATTAACATCGTATTTGCAATAGAGTGAATTTAAAAACCAAGTTAAAGAAATCTCCACAAACAATTATTATAAAACAAATTAATCAAGAAAAATAAATGGATGACAGACGACATCTTGAAATTGATGGAAAAACGTCGACTGATAAAATCTTATGAAAAAGGAAATCAAATTATTCAAAAAAAAACAAATGGATGAGAGAAAGTTGCGACGAAATTGAGGATGTAACATCTAAACACGACTTATTTAATCTGCACAAAAAAACTAAAAGGAATGAGTAACATATTTAAAAAACGAGTTTCCTCTGTACTCGTTGACAATAATAACAAAATTATTGTAAATGAGCACGAAATACAAAAAATGGCAGCTGTTTATATCAGAGTTGTTTGAATATGAAAGGAATAATAGTGCCGAATTCTACCAATACTGTACTGACGGCCCAGAAATTATGAAATGCGAGGTAGAGCACACTATAAATAATGCTAAAATTAGAAAAGCTTGTGGTCCAGATGATACACCAACTGACTTACTGAAACTAATAGAGAATGATAATAAAAAAGCAGTAGTAAGACTTTTTATTTCAATATATAACACCGGAGTGATTGTCACAGATTGGCTCAAATCCATCTTTGTCGCAATACCTAAAAAACACAATGCAAGAAAATGCTCAGAATATTGATTAATTAGCCCAATGAGCCACACTCTTAAAATTTTCATAAGAATACTTCACAACAGAATTAGACGCACATGCGAAGAAGATCTTGAAGATACCCAATTTGGTTTTAGAAATGCTATGGGAACCAGGGAGGCACTTTTTGCGCTTAACATCCTATTACAAAAATGCCGGGATCAAAGAAAAGATATATTTGCATGTTTCGTAGACTTCGAAAAGTCATTCGATAATGCAAATTAAAATTAATGCAAATATGGAAGAATATTGAAACAGATGACAAGGATATTTGTGTCATTAAAAATTTGTACTGAAGTGTCTTCAAAATTGGAGGTAACTACAACGATAACATCTCTATACAAATAGGAGTCAGGCAAGGTTGCATTTTGTCGCCAACCTAATTTGTGATTAGATATGCAGACTATACAGTAATTCTATCAGATAATATTAAAAGTCTTCAAATTCTGCTTGATCGTATTCACGAGGTAGGAGAGGAAATGGGCATTAAAATAAACTCAAATTAAACCAAATTTTAAGTGTTTAGCTAAAGTTAAATTATATTAAAGATACTAGCTAGATATTGGACGAATTATAAGTTTAAAAGAAACATATGCGGAGGAGTTATGTATGTAAAAAAAAAACAAGTCAAATGATAAAAGGACAGATATTAGTTAAATAATAAATATAAACTTACCTCAGAGAAGATTTAATAAATAAAATTAAGTTTGAATCAAAGCATTCTTTTTTCATAGGCAAAGGATACTTTTATTTCTTTTGAATTATCCCTACTTCAGCATTGAAGTTAATCTGCCAGAAGTAGTCAGAGAGTTTTTAACTGACAAATAACGTTTGCCGACTGAAGTAAGACATAGTTCTATCATCTCATAGAACATAATACGGCCTGAGTAAAGGGAATAGAATATTTATTAAAAATACAGAGTTGAAATTTTAGACTATGACAGAATATTTAGTAGATTGAAAGTTGATTGAAGGATTGAGGTGAGCACCAACTATTTTTATAAAAAAAATCAAAAGAAATTGAAATAAATTAATAACAGAAAATAACAAACATATGACATTTATAACGTTACGTCATTTTACCACCATGAATTTTGTTCACAAACTTTTTTGACAGTTTTTCAAATCGAATGCAAAAGTTTGCACAATTTTGTGGTGCTTTAATTCCTGGCCCACTCGATTAAAATAAAAGTTCAATATATCACCTGTATTAAACTTTTAGTCTAACATATTTATATAATGTTATTGTATACAAAATGTTCTTAAACTGCTATATTGTGACGTGTCTAAGTTAAAGGTAAATATTATGTTTATATGGGATTAAGCCACAATTTATTTTAATGAAAATTAACATAAGATATGACATAACCTACAAACAATGACTTGTTGACTAAACATTCTCGCAGAGCTTTTAAAATAATCTTTTTGCAAACGATTTCAGAGTGGAAATCACAGCGTCAAACATTAGTTAGTTAAAAATGTAATATTCATTACAATTAATTGTGGTTTAATATCATAAACAAGTAATATTTAAATTATTGTATACTTCTGAATAAGTGTCATTTTAATACCCCAAATAAATGTTATCTTTCTCTCTCTTAAAATGTGTTAATAAAGCTCTGAGTACGGTCCTAATATTTATTATTTTTTCCAAAATATCTATAAAATGGATCAGCCACAGAATATTATTGTGTGTTCTCCAAACCAACTAAACCAAGATGAAATTAGCATATGTATTAATTATTGCTTTGGTCTGCTTAGCAGCGGTAAGAATTGCTTTGTATTATTATTGTGCTAAAAATATTTTATATCTTAGTAATTATTCTAGTCGCTTTGATTAAATTTGGTCTAATTATCATATTATTACATTACTGGATAGATACTTTTCATTGTTTTCTGTTCTTAGCTGTCAAATTCCAATCTTTAATTCACATCTCTCTAACATATTCTATCCCTACATCTTCTCATTTTTTTTCTTCGTTTTCCTCTCTTTTTTTTTGCTCTCAGGTACTCTCCAACCAATATTCTTGACTTGTCTATTACCTTGTATTCTTTCTAGATGTCCGAACCATTTTAGTCTACGCTTTTTCAATACTTTTGTTATAGTAGGGTCAGCATATAATTGGTACATTTTTACATTAGTTTTCCCTCTACTACCTTTTCACCAAACATTCTGCAAAGTATCATTTTTCCCATTCTTTCAATATGTTCTATATAATTTTGTGGGTATAAATATCGTTTTGTATACCGTTATTGTTGTATTACAAAATATATTTTTGGCCTTAAATATTTTGTCCGAGGCTCTCCGCTATAACATCCGTTGCTCCTAATGAGTGTCAGGTTGATTTCAGTTTCTTCCTTAGTCTGATAAAAAAGGGTACTTAAGTACATATATTTATCCACCTTCTCTAATCCTAAAACTGATACATCCTTCATCTCTAGTTTAAAGAAGCCCTTGGTGTTTATTCCCTTTTTGCTCGAGATTTTCATGAATTTGGGTTAATTAATATTAACTTTTAGTCCCATTTTAGAGCTTCCCCGAATTAGTCTTTTTGTTATACTTGCCAGTTGTTTCATTTCTTGCAGTGAGAACAACATAATTAGCGTACGCTAAGCATTAGTGCTCTTTGTATAAAAGATTGTCGAATTTATTTATCCCACTAAAACTTACAATTTTTTCTAGAACTGTAGTGAATAGCATGGTAAACAATGGAATTTCTTTACAAATACCTTTTTTATTTTAAATCCTTCTGAGACTGTACCGTTGAATTTCAGAGCACAAATGGCTTTTCAAATTTCATTTTTCCCAATCTTACTACTTTTTCTGGCACTTAAAATTCTTTTAGCATTTCTATTAGTTTGTTTTTGTTTATTGTATAGTAGGCGGCTTTATAAACAATAAATAGTACTTCTGCTAAAATGTTGTATTCCTGACAATTAACCAGGATCTGTTGTAGTGTAAAAAATAGATCAGCTGTTGATCTTCCCTTGCAAAATCCTTCCTGATATTCTGCTCGATTGTTCTCCATATATATTTCTAATCGTTTTTTAATTAGTATGGCAAGCACTTTGTATTACCTCTAACAAGGATATTGCTCTATAATTTGTGCATTCAGTTTTATCTTTCCTTTTTGTGTATAGGAATATAATGGACTTGTTCCATACTTGGTGCATGCATTTCTTCGGCATCTTCTTCTTCTTTAAGTTCCATCTTCTATCGAAGGTTGGAAATCATCATGACTATGCGGACTCTGTTGACCGCCGCTCTAAAAAGTTTTGCACTACTGCATTCAAACCATTCCCTTAAGTTCTTAAGCCAGGATATTCTTTGACTTCCCACATTTCGCTTTCCTCGGATTTTGCCCTGCATAATAAGTTGTATTATTACAACGTATTTTTGCCCTCTCATCACATTTCCCAAGTACTCAAGTTTTCGTCTTTTAATAGTTAATAATATTTCCGCCTCATTTCCTATCCTTCTAGTTACTTCCATGTTTGACATTCTTTGAATCCATGATATTCGTAGGATTCTTCTGTAACACCAAAATTCAAAGGCGGCCAACTTATTCAGATGAACTTGTTTTAGTGTCCATGCTTCTGGCTTTAGGCGTAGTTCTAACCTTATATCCCGACAACAAAGAAACTTTTTAAGTTTAATAAATAATGTACGTGCTATTTCAATACGTGTCTTAATTTCTTTGGTTTGGTCTACATCTGATGTTATCCATGTTCCTAAATATTTATAGTTATTAACATTCTCAATTGCAGTATCTTCAATAGTCAATTGGATATTTGCATGTGCAGATTTAGTCATGATCATGCATTTAGTTTTCTTTATATTTATCTTAAGTCCGTACTCATGATAGCGTTCATTAAGGCGTTGCATTAGGTTCTGTAAATCATTGTTGTTATCCGTAATTATTACTGTATCGTCTGCAAAACGTAAGTTATTCAAAACTTCTCCATTGATAGATATACCTTCTATTGAGTCTGAGAGCGCTTCTTGAAATACCGCTTTACTGTAGACATTGAAAAGTAGTGGGGACAGCACGCAACCCAGGCGGACTCCTCTCTGCATTTTGATATTTTTGGTGTATTGGCTGTCAACTCTTACCTTGGCAGTTTGATTCCAATATAAATTAGATATAATTTTTAGATCACGACTGTCAATATTTTTGCTTTTTAATATATCTACAATCTTTTTATGTTGAACTTTATCAAATGCCTTTTTAAAGTCTACAAAACATAAGTATATATCCTGATTCATGTCCATGCATCTCTGAGCCAGCACATTCAAGCCGAACAAAGCATCTTTTGTACTCATACCATTTCTAAAGCCAAATTGTGTGTCACTAATCTCATATTCAAGAGTTTTAACAATTCTGCTGTGAATTATTTTCAAAAATGTTTTAAGTGTGTGACTCATTAAAGCTATTGTTCTGTGGTCCGAGCAAGTTGTTGAACTTGGTTTTTTGGGAATTGCTACAAAGGTTGATTGCAGCCATTGTCTGGGGATTGTGGCAGTCTGATATATTAGATTAAAGAGTTCAACCATTACATCAATAACATCTTCATCGATGAGTTTTAATAATTCGATGGGCACCTCATCTGGTCCAGTAGCTTTACCCTCTTTTGTGTTTTTGATGGCATAGATGACTTGTTCTCTTAATATTGGTGGTCCAGTATCCTCGGTGATTTCTAATGACAGTTCTTCTCTTTCATCATTAAATAGTTGTTGAATGTAATTGGTCCAGTGACATAATCTCTCCTTCATATCAGTAATAATATCCCCTCTATCATTTTTAAGGATATTCGTTTTTGTACGCTTTCTAGAACCGGCATCTTACACTTCCACTATTAGATAACGAAGTTCGTTTCGTAAATTATATCCTCCATATTTTAAATTATCTGTTACAATGCCGCCCCCTCCAGGGAGTTTAGGTTTTTCATATATTTTATTATTTCTTCAATTTATTTTCCAGTGAGTTTTGTCCTTCTACTACTATTTGAGGTTCAGGAACATTTTAATTTTCTTCAGTAGTTACTCGGCCATTTAGCAGGTCTTCGAAATATTTATTCCATCTTTCACTTATTTGGTCTTCGTTCACTATCAGGTTTCCTTGCTTATTGTTTGCATTCGTCGTTCTTCCCTGGTACTCAGTTTTAATATATTTTGACTCTTTTTAAAAAATTTTTATATTCCATGTTTTTGTATTTTCTTCAATACACTTTACTTTATCATCCATATACTTTTCTTTTAGCACCCTTAGGATTTTCTTTACTTTTTCGACATATCTTCCTAGCCCTTCTTGTTTTTGCGATCACAAACATTTTAATCTTAAATCTGACCTTTTTTTTAATATGTTCTACATTTGTCATCGAACTAGCGATTTTTTATAAAGCTTTTTGTCGTTGAAATGTTTGTCGACGTTGCTTCCTTTAAAGTGTTTGCCATTTTCAAAAAATTTTATTATATTTTACTTACAGTAACAATATCTTTTTTGGCATAGGTTTCTTATATATCCTTTTAATAATCCTGCTCTACCTCAAATTTTCGTATTTTCAGTTTCAGAATCAGAATTAAATGTTACACTTTTTTTTCTGTTTATGCTTTTTGATTATTACACCTCCCATATTATTTCTAACCAAAAAATGAACACAATCTACGTCAGCCTCTCTTCACGTTTTCACATTTGTTATTAAATTGGCGAACTTCTCTGGTATTAAGATGTAGTATAATTTATTAGTTTCATTTGATCCCGGAATTTTCCACGTCGACATTTGTATATATATATATATATATATATATATATATATATATATATATATATATATATATATATATATACGGTTACATATAACACTGTTTATTCGGGCTGCAGACAAAAGTTTGACCGGGATGTTAAAGAAACACTCTTTTAACTTTTGGTCTAGCCTTTCGAATTGTTTTATTCCTTTTTCAAGACACTGGAATAAAAAGAATGTGTAAATATTTACAAAATATTTCAATTCGTTAGTGCAACTTACTAGTCGTTGAGATTATTTATAAAAAGCTTTGACACTCAATATTAATAACACAATATAAAATATAAAGTAATAGACAAAATACATTCTCAAATTTTTAAAATTTAGTTAAGAATAGTAAAACTTAGTTTATCACATCTTTTAATGGTGTGTTTGAACTCTGATACATAGAGAACAGAAAGAAAAAAACAAAAACAGTATGATTAAAAGGTAATTAGGTGTTCTTCATGTTATATTAATAAATGTAATATAATAGTAATATAATTTATTATCTGTATATATAAAGTGTATATAGAAGCACCGTTTTACTAGTATCTTTTTTATTAAAGATTTTTTGTGTGTTTAAAAGCTTATTGTTGTTTATTTTTAAGTTTTGTTTTCATCATGTTTTCCGTTCTACTAATGTTTTTTTGCAACAACCTGCTAATCTTAACTAAAGTGATTCAAAATCTGCAAAACACGTTCTGTGGCTTGGAAATTTTAATTCTTTCTAAGAAAGTTGAGGGCTTATAAATTTACCTTCTCTTTTTGAAAATTGTAAATATTGTATGCCTGTAGAGATTACGTAATCATCATACTATGATGATATACGTACTATATCATTTGTTGATTTAAATGTCTACTCTTGTCTAAAATTTAAGACAAGAATTGAACTAAATTGGTATGTTTAAAAATTTTAGGTAAAATCCAAACATTTTTTGAACAATGCTGAATATTTTATTTAAGAAAATCTCCGTCACTGTTTTATGATGTTGTATTGTGTTTTATGTAACGTGCAATAAAATTTCCGTTACCACTCATTTTCAAATGTACTATTAACAAATCGGATTTTAGTCTACTTCTTTTCTTTTCTTTTAATATTTTTTAAATTTCTACACAAAAGTATCTTACTTGTTAATTTTTTATATGCTTTATTTTAATCTAGCTTTAATATACCAATTATTTTTAGCAAACTGCAGCCCAAAGTGAAAGGCAACGAGTACAAGATTTGGTTAAGGAATGTCAAAAAGAATCTGGTTCAACCGTAAATGAAATTGAAAACATTAGAAATGGAGTTATAACCGCTGATACAGGCAAGCAAGCTCTTTGTGTAAATCGTAAATTAGGAGTACTGGATCAGAATGGAGACCTTATTGCTGATAAGTTCAAGCAACACGTTGATGCACTGACTGACAAAAATGATCTTCGGGAGGAGTTTCATAACAAATGTGGCAAAACTGAAGGAGAAAATCCCGAAGCTAAAACTATCAAATTTGTTAAATGTATGCAATCCGTCTTAGCAAAAGTCTAAAAATATCTAAATTATGTCTAAACATAAACAAAAATGTAAGGGACGGACAAATATGTAAATAATAATTTATAATAAATATGACATAAAATATATTTGTTTCGTTTAAATATTTATGTATTATCAAATTTGGTTTTAAAAAAACGTGCAAAAGTGCAAAACCGAAGTTTACTATAAAAATCAGCACACATTACGATTAAAAATCTTTTTCTTCTTCTAATTCCATGACCGTTATCGATCGTTGGATATCATGTTGGCTACCATATTCGCTATCGTGACTTTATTGACAGCAGCTCTAAATAACGATGTAGTTGATTTTTCATACTATTGAATTAGATTTTTCAGCCATGATGTTCTTCGTCTACTAGGATTACGATTACCTTGGATCTTTCCCTGAATGATCAGATGTAAAAGATCATATTTTTCAGGGTGTCTTATAATGTGACCGAAGTATTCCAGCTTCAGTTTCTTTATTATATTGACCAGTTTTGTTGTTTGGCTCAGCCGTCTAAGGACCTCCTTATTTCTAACTCTGTCGACCCAGCTTATTTTCAGTTACAGTTATTTCGATTAAAAATAGACATGTTAATTATTTACGTTTAACTATAAACCAACAAATTATCTGTGATAATGAGTTCTGAACACCACACTCAAAAATTTCTCCGTAATAATAATAAACTTTTGGAAAACAAATCTACTGAAACTTATTCTGTTATTGGTGACAAGACACCTATGCAGCAACTTCATTTAAAGGAACTTTGTACTGAGCTTGAAACTCATAAAAATAATGGAAAAAACAACCTTACTATTAAATATGTAAATTTTGAGGGTATACAAGGCAACTATCGAACACGGTGATTAATTTAATCTTGCCCAAGCGCTTTCGATCAATAGATCATCTTCAGGGGCATTTCGTCAATTGTGGACTATCCGACATACTAGAATGTCATAAATGTAAAAACTGGACATAACAATACAAAATACACTACACTAAGACAAACAAACACTTTAAAATTAATATGGCGAAGCTACATATTGTGAAGAAGCCGGAGACAGAATGTCTCCGGCTTCTTCACAATATGTAGCTTCGCCATATTAATTTTAAAGTGTTTGTTTGTCTTAGTGTAGTGTATTTTGTATTGTTATGTCCAGTTTTTACATTTATGACATTCTAGTATGTCGGATAGTCCACAATTGACGAAATGCCCCTGAAGATGATCTATTGATCGAAAGCGCTTGGGCAAGATTAAATTAATCACCGTGTTCGATAGTTGCCTTGTATACCCTCAAAGTTTAATTATTCGAACATTCAACCTTATATTGAAATATGTAAATGGCTGTCATTCACATATTTAATAATAAATATAAGAAATACAATACCCACTACGGTGTAAAATCGAAATTGATGGGAAAATAATAAAGCAGGAAGCAAGGTTTAGATATCTGGGAAAAGCTATAACTAGTTATGGAGATGTTGAAGAAGAAGTACGACAACAAAGCTTAAAAGCAGGTAAAGCAGTGGGATCTCTTAATGACACTATCTGGAAGAACAAACACCTAAGACAAGACACAAAAAACAAGAATCTATAAAGAACATACACGGCGAAGACAAGACTTGACACATCTAAAACGAGATGATTGCTAGAAACAACAAAGATGAAAATACTCTGACGAATATCAGGGAAAAGTCTGTTGGATAGAAAGAAGAAGGAAGGAAGAAGGAAGGAAGAAGAGCATGCAATATAGAAGATATAAATGGATGGGTGACAAAACTAAAACAGGAGTGGAACGAACAGATTAATAGAATGGCAGATGATAAAATAGTAGTAATAGCACGAGATAAGTCACCAAATGGAAGAAGAAGTATTGGCAGACCAAGAAAGAAAAATAGTGCGACAATTTAAACAATTTAGGAGATTAATATTTAAAAAACAGGCTTTAAAGCCTACATACTAAAAGGAAGAAGAAGAAGAAGAAAAAGCTTTCCAAAGATAATGAAATTTCGTTCATAATTCTTCTGCACCAAAATTTACGGATTGGCTTCTTATGTATATGAATCTAAATTCTCTTTTGTCCAAATGGAATGAAGTTATAAGTACTGTTCATCTTTTAAAACCTCATATTATTCTCCTAACAGAAACGTGGCTTAATTCGTTTATCCCCGATGCTATTGTAAACATTGATATTTTTACTATATTTCCTAGAGATACTCGAGGAGAGGGAGAAGTATGCATGTATTTAGTAAATAAAATTACCAATACTTCTTTCATCAGTAATAAAACAATAGACGAACCCGGTATAGAAATTATCCACTTTGCATATACCGACTTCCGGATACAGTACTTACTCAGGAGAATATGCTTATTATCAAACTTGAGGAATTATTATCTCTTAAAAATCTCATTGTTGTTGGAGATTTCAATTTTCCAGAGATAAGCTGGCCCATTATTTCCAAAACTGATATTTTCAAATCTAAAAAAATTTATTTAAAAACTTTATCATGACCTTAGATGTATGATTACTGATAATTGAACCTACAAGGTTTAGAGCCAAAAATAACCCTTCAAGTTTTGACTTATTTTTCACAAATATCGATCAATTTATTTCTACACTTAAAGTGTCCTCACCTGTGGGTCTTTCTGACCACAAGTTTATTACTGCTCACATTCAATTTAGTTTAACACCGCCTTGCAAAAATAATTTCTTTTCCTAAGCCACTACTGATTTCTTTAATGTAAATTCAGTTTTATCCTAGTTAACTGGCAATCCATTTTTGTTATTCACTCTGATCTATCGTCAATATGGGACTCTTTTCTTAATTCTGCTATTACAACAATTTCTGATCATAGAACTGACCAGCAGCTAAACAGAAATCGACTTTAACCTTGAATTAACCTCTCAGCTACCAATTTAATTTAAAATAAGGAAAAACTTTGACGAAGATATAAACTTACTGGTTCTCTTGGTGATTTTCTCAAACACCGTTATTTTTTCTAACCGAATCAAACAATATTTGCTAAAGTTAAGAACAGAATTTGAGGAATGTATCAAAGAATATAGACGCTTAAGCGTCTATATTCTTTGATGAAGCGTCTATATTCTTTGGTATCATTGTAAGTGGTAATAATAAAAAAGTTTATTGGTACTTTCGTACATCTTTTTCTTCTAAAGTCTCCATACCAGTACTTCAAAAAGCTGGCGGGTTTTTATGTCCTTCGAATAACGAATCTTCGGAATGTTTACCATTGTTCTTTTCTTAGGTTTTTACAGATAAACCTAACGATACCATTCCTCAAATAATGTGCCCACGTTTATTTAAAATTCTTGACAATATATATTTTACACCGGATGAAATTAAACATCATTTAAAGAAACTACGAAATAATTCATCACCTGGATTAGACGGACTCACCTCCTTTTTTCTCAAACAATGTGAAGAATCTGTAGCTATCCCTATATCTCTCATAATGAATGCTTCTTTTAATCAAGGTTCTCTCCTCTCGTCCTGGAAATTGGCTTCGGAAATTGCAATAAAATTGATTGCAATAATTATCGTCCAATTAGCCTGGTTCCTATTGAGGGCAAGGTCATGGAATCGATTATTTCGGAAGCTATGTCTTAGTTTCTTCTTCAAGAAAATGTTATCCCTCACCAACAACATGGCTATATCAAAGGTCTTTCAACGATCTCAAACTTATTTCATTATGTAAATGATTGGGCAATATCTTTAAACAATCGGAGTTCTGTCGATGTAGTCTACTTAGACTTCTCCAAAGCTTTCGACCGTGTTCCAAAACGTTGATTACTTGCTAAATTTTGTCAATATGGTAACCACGGAAAGTTAAACATTTGGATTCAAGATTTTCTATCCGACAGATACTTTAGTCAAAAGTGGAGTCCCACAAGGATCAGTACTTAGACCGCTACTTTTTTGTGTCTACACTAGTAATCTTTTGCTCATTGTATCCAGTAAAGTTTCCATTTACGCTGATGACACAAAATTATATGTGAATCCAACTATTAATTAACATGTTCTTCAACAAGATCTTGACGCGATATTCAAATGGTCCTCAGAAGGGTTACTTCCGCTTAACATAAAAAAAGCGTTGTTTTACATATTGGCAAAAATATCTCATCACTGCCTTACTTTATTAATGGACATCCCTTTAACTCGGTAACCTTCTGCAACGATCTCGGAGTGATAATTAATAGTGACTTAAATTGGTCTGATCACATAGTATCGGTGCGTAAATGTCCAAACTCGAAACTGTTGATCCGTAAATGTTTTAAACGTATATCTCTAACCTCTAATAGTAAACTTCACTCAATATACGTTAGACCTATTCTTGAGTTTTCCGGACCAGTGTGGAATCCAGATCTCAGTCGCGATAAAATCCTACTTGAAAATGTTTAGCGTAAAGCCATAAGACTGGCATACGGCCGTGTAAGACCTAACTATGAAGATAGACTATCCATGGTTCAACTTACGACATTCGAGCAGCGACGTCTCCGAGGTGACGTAATATGTCCTGATTATTTATTTTATTTTCTATATAATATTTTAAAATATGCCTTTGGAAACCTAAACACCATATTTACTTTAAATCAATACGAAATATTAGAAGGTCAACGTTACAAATTTAATAGGGGACAGACGACAATAAGGTCCAGGGTGAACTTCTTGCCAAACAGAATATTTAATATCTGAAATAATTTATATCAAGACACCGTATCGGCAACTAGTGTTAACATGTTTAAAAATAGACTTAATAGTTCTTTACTTTTCTTTACTTTACCGTCGAGTTGATACAAATTTTGTTTAAAAAATTGGTTACCGCTACTTCTAGAATACTTTAAAATTAACCTATTTTAAAGTACAGAAAATCTTCTTCTTTAAGTGCCATCTCCGCGGATGAGGTCGGCAATCATCATAGCTATTCGGACTTTTGAGACAGCTGCGCTGAAGTTCATTTGATGTACATACGTACAATTCTCTCAGGTTGCACGCCTTCCTATGCTTCTCTTTTTTTGGATCTTTCCCTGCAGAATTAGTTGTAGCAAGATGTATTTCTCTCCACGTGTAGTAT